ATATACATATATATATATATATATACATTTATAATCATTCAACGGGAGGCCGATTGAGATCCATATAACCTCAACCAAATCACAGCCAACAAAACTCGAGTTGCGATCGGCATCAGAAGATTCTCAGTCCCACTCCCGCATTTGATGTGCCTGGCGTGGCCGAAAAAAACCTCACGTTGTGGCCAGGGCGGGCGGGCGGAGCCCACAACGACGATATCCATGCGAACGGCCAAGCTCGCCGTGGGGTGGTGGTCGCGCCCGTAGGCCACCACCTCTAGGGAGCCCTCGTATGGCGCCCCTAGCCGCCCACATGGGGCGCCCCCACTTGGCCTCTCGCCTCAATCTGTCCACCATCCAGTTCCCTCTCCCCGCGTCTCGTCGGAGTAGAGGTCGTCGGACTCTGGGCAGCTTGTGTCACCCTTGGTGGTGGACTTCTTGTTGGTGGTGGTCTTCTGCTTCTGCTTTGTGGCAGGTCCCAGCATCAAGAGCTCTGCGGCAACATCTTTCACCTTCTTCGTCTTCAGATTCGTCCTGATGCCGTCGACCAGCTGCTGCTGCTGCTGCTTGCTGTAGTTGGTGCGGGACTCCATCGCACGGAGTATCTCGGCAGCCAGGTCTGGGGTCGCACGGGGGCCCACGTCCAGCACCTTCTTCGGCATTTGTGCGCGGAACTGCGTGAGGGCGAACGTCTTGGAGTACCGTTGGACGCTGGACAGGGCCTTCCACCTGCCCCGCCTCCGCACCTGCTCTAGGCTGGCCCGTCCTCGGGCCACGTCCTCGCTGGGCCCCGAGTGGCGGGGCCCGTGCGGAGGCGGCGCCCAGGGCGTCCCAAGCGAGCGACATGCGCGGTGCCACTCTTTGCGGAAGCCTGCCTGCTTGGGGCCGAAGATGGGCCCCGTGGCATTCTTCTTGACGTCCTACAGGGCCAGGATGAGGCTCGCGACCGTGCCGCGGCGGATGGCGACCCCTTGATTGCTGCCCGTCTTGCCCTCCTCGCCTCTGGCCGAGATGCCAAACAGGAGGCCCACGCATCGGCCATCCCAAATGACGTCGGCCTCGCGCAGCATCTCCATGTCCTGCCCCCGCCCGTAGACGTCGCACTGCACGAGGGTCCAGATGGCTTCGTTCAGGAGCCCCGCCTCGAAGAAGTAGATGGTGATGGCGAAGACAGCTTCCTCAGGCAGAGGACCCCCTTCCACAGAGATAACCAGCCTCTGCCAACTCTTCAGGCTTCGCAAGGCCAGAGGAAGCTGGTTCCTCAGCTCAGGCCAAATCGCCAGCAGCCCGAACAAGACGATCGACCCCCACGTAGGACGGAGCCGGTCCTTGTAGCACTTCATGTCCATGTAGTCGGCCAGGGCGTGGCCCACGGCGTTCGCGGACCGCAGCTCCCAACCCTCGTCGACACAGTGGCTAAGAAAGTCTCGAACCTTCGGGGCCCACTGCGCCGCAGTGACGTCCGCCACGGAATGGGTAAGCAGCCTCGTGAAGCCGCCCTCGCTGATGCCCAGGCGCGGCTCCTTCTCGTAGTTCCCCCGCGCCCGTGGCCCCCGCTTCTGCAGGGGGGCGCCCCCCGCTCTGGGAGGCTTCGGGCGAACCGCTCCAACAGGGTGGACAGCCTCCAATACCATGGCGGCTACCCACCAGCGTATCCCGTACATGCGCGGCCCAGGTCGCGTAGATCGTGACCTCGGCTGTCTGTTGGAGCGAGGTGTCGGTCGCTGTGAGCTGCTACTGTCTCGGGCGCCGCGCCGAGGAAGCCCCCCCGAGAGAGGCCGTCGGCGACGTTCAGCTCCGACGGGGCGTAGCGGTAGTACCCACGAATCGCGAAGCTCACGGTGATCGCCGCCGCCTGGCGGCACAAGCGCAGCAGGGCTGGCGAACTCGAGCGGCCCTTGCCCAGGGCCCCCAGAGCCACCATGCTGTCTGTGAGGATCAGGACCTTCCGCCTCCACATCCGTGATGATCTGGCCAAGTGTCGCAGCAGGCCCACCACGGCCCGCGTCTCGTTGATGTTCGTGTGCTCCGTGATCCTCCACCTCCCGAAGTAGAGTGGCCGCCATCTCGCGATCGGCATCCAGGCGGGGGACAGCGGGGGGACTCTGACTCGATCGCCCCGCCCCACCTCGATCTTCGCCCTTCCCGGCCTCGGTGGGCCGAAGGACGAGGTGGATGGAGACACACGCGAGCCCGTCGGATCGGGGCCCCTCATCTCTTTCGTCATGCGGGCGAACGCCTCGATGATCACCTCCGCCAGCGCGGCGCGCAGCGGCGGCTGGTTCGCCTGGGCGGAAGCGGTGCAGAAATCGGGACGGCCTCGCTCCACCCGTCCCTGGAGTACTGCCTGATGCCTCCCTCGGTGGTTGCACCTCAAGCGGAGACGATCCGCGGCGAGGTCCAGTGCGTCGTCGTAGAGCCCGACGATGCCAAGCATGGTCGGCTTCATCGACGGGGCTCCGTAGCGGCTTTGGTCGATCCGATGGATCTTCCCGCCCGTCTCCTCGAGGAGGCATGCCATCTCGGGTAGGTTCCAGATTGTCGGGTATGGGTCCTCCTCTGGGTCCGCAGGGTGCTCCATCAAGCCCAGGCCTCCAGCTCGACATACCTCGCGGACCGCCTGCATGGCCGACAGCAAAAGGCGCGACCCTAGGTCCAGGCGGAGGCGCTCGAAGGCTGTGAATGACATGTCGCTCCTCCCCCGAGGCTCGAGGCGCGTCCGTAAGGGCATGGGCCCCTTCCCCAGGAAGCGAGCCCGACTCCAAGTGGAACATGGGGGCGAGGCGATTACTGCGTGGAAGTACCCGTCGCGCGCCAGGCTCAGGATCAGGCTGACGAACTCGTCGTTGGTGAGGTCGTGCTTCGGGTTGATCACCGCGTCGATGGACCAGACCTCGACCTCGAAGCCGTCGCGCTCCGCCCGCGAGTGGATGGCCTCCTCCAGATCCCCCTCCCGGCGCCTGCCCGCGAAGAGGTACAGCACCCGGTAGACCCTCCGGCTTGCCCGCGGCGGCGGTGCAGTCGACGCCTCGACGAGCTCGTCGACGTCGTAGGCACACCCCCCAGCGTGGGGGACCCAAGCGTCCTCCTCCTGGGCTGTGTAAATATCCTCGGTGGCGATCGTCCATCCCCTCATCTCGCTGTAACATGCGTCCTTCCTGATCTCCTCCAGCGAGGCGTCGGTGACCGCCACTCCGTAGCCCGTGTCGCTGGAGTCCGTCATGAACACCTGCGAGAGCCACGGAGCTTCGAGATCTGTACGTAAGAGGGTTGCGCAGTATGCCATCGTAGTCAGCTCCCACGTCGCCGCGCCCGTCAGTCGGAACGGCGTCTTGGCGGTCTCGGGACGTCTCATCTCGTGGCGCACCTGGTCGAAGATGGCGAGGCCCGTGCGCTGGAAGATGGCCGCCCACGCCCACAACCCCACGACGCGCTCGAGGAGATCCGCGGTCCAGTACGTCCGATCTGCCAGCCGCAGCGTCACCAGAGCCAGGCCGGAGCGGCGATCGGTCTCGGCCGAGACGGAGTAGGGTCGGCCTCGGGTGACCGCCCCCAACGATTCGAGCCCCTCGCCTTCGGTCTCCTTGTGGACGGGGAGCCCGACCTGCCCCAAGTAGTGCTTGACTCGGGCCGTCAGCCCGCTCACGACCTCGCTCACCGGCTGCTGCGCGCTGGCGGACGTGGCCATGACCCCGTAGTCGTCCATGTGCGCCCAGTTCACCGACTCGAACCCCTCGGGCCCGGTCAGTTGAGGCGTCGGAGCCCCATAGACCAGACGCGCGCCGACGGAGTCCTCCCCGAGCCCGCGCGCCATGCAGGCCTGCAGCGTAGAGTGGGCCAAGAACGGGGCCCACGACCAGCCCATGACCAGGGCCTTCAGCGCCAGGAAGGGCCCGCCATTGGGGATGACGCAGTCCCGCCCCTTGGTCCTCATGCGTTCGACGAACTCGTGGACTGGCACCTTCTCCAAGACAAAGTAGGGCCAGACATCGGGCGGCGTCTCCAAACGATAGAACATGTCCGGGATGTCGCCCACGCCAGTGTAGACCACGTCCCTCTCGCCCAGGTTGGAGAGGTCCACGTGAGCAAAGGTCGCGGGGCTGCCGATGGGGCACGTACGGGGGCCTCTGCCAGCGGAGGTTGGCCCGCCTCTGGTCCCAGATGGCGCGCGCCTGGCGCCTGGCGGGGCTGAGGGGGCCCCCCTCCTCCTGCAGGTACTTCTTGATGACCCCGAAAAGCGAGACCCCCTCGACCAGCTCGTCGGTGGTCCCGAGCATCCCCGCATCCCAAAGCCTCTCGGCTAGGCGGAGACGCGACGCCCTCGATCGAAGAGACGGATCTCGGTAGACCTTCTGGCCCTTCAGCTCCTCGTCCATGGCCTTGCTGGGCTCGCGTAGCATCCTCCCCGCAACGTCGGAGAAGTACTCGGCGGCCAGCGGGCAGATGTCCACGAGCTTGGCAGGGATGGTCCCTGGCGGCGGAAGAGCCAGTTCCTCCGCGTCGACGGAGCACATCGCGCCCTCTGGTAGCATCTCCCTTCCCTTTGAATCCTTTCCCAGGGCAACCGTAGCCCCATCGCCTGAGTATGGCGAGGCCCGACCGGCCATGACGCGCCGAAGGGCGGCGTCCTCGTCTTCCTTGATCGCGGCCACCTGGCTGCCCCAAGCTAGCCACGCCTCCAGTAACCTCCTCGAAGTAGCCCTCTGGAGCGGTGTTGCCCGCTCCCACGCGGCCGACGGCCCAGCGCCCTCGGCCGCACCGACCGTGCCCCGCGAGAGGTGGTGCATGGATCGGATCAGCCCGTTGGCAAGAGCTCGCACATGTCTCAGTGTGCCTTGATGCATCCGCCCCGCGCGGTCCACCACCACCGACCAAGGTAGCAGCGGCAAATCCGGCAGAAGGTCTCGGTCTCGAGGAACGGCTTCGGGAGGCGCGCCTGTGGCTGCCGTCGAGGTAGACGATGGAGAAGCGCGTGGATGGAGAAAAGCGGGCATGGCGTCGCCTCCCGAGGGGCGCAGAACCACGCGAAAATATCGTCGCGACAAGCAGGAGCGTCACCGTAGCTATCGGGAGAGTAAGCCCACCAGGGTGGCCGTCGTCAGGGCGAACGGAACGGTCAACCGCCAGCCCCTCCCTCACGCGCGGGGAGCCCCGCGAGGCACCACAGACAGGGAGAGTTTCCCCAACGTCTACTCGTCCTCCTCCTTCACTGCGTCCGACCCCCCCCCCTTCTGCAGATACTTCTGGAAGAGAGCCTTCTGCTGCAGCCTGGCCGTCAAGTCGCGCTCCACGCCTGGGAGCGCCTCCTCGCCCTCCGTGAGGGACCTCCAGTCCAGCTCGTTCGCGAGGTCCCAGCGCACCTTGGACTTCCATTGTTGGCCCCGCTGCCCCGGGGCTGCTTCCAGTCGTTGATGCATGCCACGTCCTTGAACGCCCGCTTCAAAGCATAAGCTCGTGCGCATAAGATCTCGCAGCCCGCCGTCTGGATGAACTCGGGCGAGGCCTCCAGCACCCGGCCCAGCGTCATGCAGTGCAGCATCATCTCGTGGCCGATGTGGTTGCGATTCAACTCCTTGAGTCGAACCCAGTCCGTCGCGAACTTCACCATGCTGCCGTACTTCCCGTAGGTCTGGACCAGCAGCTCGGGCGCCACGCGGGAGGTGAGGCCCGCTGGGAGGGTGAAGGTGGGCGGCGCATCGATCTTCGAGAGGTTGGCCAGCAACCGCTCCCTGGGGTCCCGGAGTGCCTCCCTCAAGGGCTCGAGGCTCGCCCCCGCGCCCTCCAGCGTCTCCTTCGTCCCCAGGGCGATGGTAGGGCACGTCGTTGATCCCGCCGTGGCCGACGTGGACGAAGCGCCCTGCAAAGGCTTGCATCCAGGAGAGGCCTTGTCCGCATTGATCGTGTCCTCGAAGCGCTTCAGCCGGTCGATCATCCTGTCCACATGCATGTCCATGCTGGAGTCCGTGTTGACACTGGGGACTCTCTCCCGGCTGGCGTGACTGCTCTCTCCAGGGGACGCGGCAGACGAGGCACTCCGACTCGTGGGGGCACGTGGTGACTCCGACCTCGCTTTGGTGATCTCGTCGAGCAAGCTGCTCATCATGGCCTTCATCTCCTGCATGTCCTTGGCTGGCTCGGACTCGTCCGACGACCCCGCCACCGAGTGGCCCGCTTCCCCGTCGCTGTCCACGTCGCTCACTGGAGGCGAAGCCCCCGTGAGCAAAGGGGAGGGGCGCTGCCTGCAGCAACGCAGGAGACTTGGCCCGAGAGCCACCACAGCGGTGAAGATCATGATAGGAATCTCGAGCTTGCCGTCTTGGTACAGGTCGTGCATATATCCTCGGAAGTCGTCGATCTCGAGGATCATGTTGTGGCCATCCTCGAGCTTCTCCACTGACCAGCGCATCCACTGCCATAGGGTGCAGTAGACCGCCGCCCTCCAGAAAAAGAAGGCGGCGCCCACCGTCGACCCCCAGTTCCATGTGCTCCATACGCCAACCAGACCAGAGCGAAACCAGGACAATGAGGCAACGTAGCCGCGGATGTTGGACATATACAGCTCGGCCTCGAGCTGCTTCTCCTTGGCCTTCTCCAGGATGTCCGTCGTCTCGCTGGCTGTGAGGGTCGGGAACGCCTCGTAGTCCCAGCCTGGCTGTCGACGACTCGACATCTTCGCCCGATCCTTGATGTCGCCCGCGCCGAGCGCGCGGTCCGGCTTCACGTAGATCCACCTTGTGTGGTTCTTCTTCTTGGGGTACATTCGCACCACCAGGAGGACCACCTGTCCCCGCTGGGGGCCAGTCGTCCGATAGAAGCGGCTGCATCGTGTCACGCTGGACATGTGCACCCGCAGATAGTCGTAGAAGCTAGCCGCTCGGACTCTCTCGTGTACCTCAGGGGCGCGTCGTCCTCGGGCTCCACGAGCGGCTTTGAGGGGATAGAGTCGAGGACTCCCCAGTCCCCGATGTACGAGAGCAAGGCAGCACTGGCGAGCCACCACCGCCTCGCCGTGGTGCCGACGATCAGCGCCCGCGCCGCGAGCACCCGCGCTGGTGGGGCAGAGGGGCGCGCGCGCGCCCCTGGCTCGAACGACCTCGAGCCAGAAAAAGCTTGAGCGGACACGAAAGACAAGCAGGGCAGGACGGGGGATATAACCTGCACTACTATCTAACACGGCCCACCCCCGCCACGCCACCCCGAGACGCGATCAATTAAGTTTAGAAAACGATCAAGAGGCACCATGCAGCGTCGACCTGGCGCGCGGAGCTGGTGCGCGCCGTGCAGGCGCGGGCTGGGGGCCCCGATGCAGCCCTCGCAGGCTGGCTGGCCGAAGGAGCGCCGATGGGCATCAAGCGAAGGATCGAGCCTGGGGGATTGTTCCCGGCTGCCCCCTCCGAGGCGTCGCTGACCGTGGAGGAGCTGCTCGGCCGAGCGGAGCTCGCGAACCACCCGTCCTTCCTTGACCTCCACGGCCAGAACAGTCCGCCGGGAGTCGAGCAGGTCCAGGTGCTCGTGGATAAGGGCTTCGGGATTCTCTTCGAGAACAGGGCCGCGGCCGAGGCTCACTTCGGGGCGCCAGTGTTCCCAGCGCCACTCGGCAACATCGCGACGACGAAGCCAGACGGCAGGACGAAGAACCACGTCATCCAGGACTTGAAGGCGAACTCCGTCAACGAGGCGGTGGCCCTCACCGAGCGCCAGGTCTTGCCCGCGATCCTCGACCACGCCATCGACCTCGCGATGCTCTCCGCGCAGGCCCGCGAGGGGGAGGTCGTGTGGACGCTCGTATTGGACTTCGCGGATGCGTTCATGTCGGTACCGGTCCACGTCGACGAGCAGCCGTTCAACTGTGCGCACGTTGGTCGGAAACTCCGCAGGAACAGGCTGGCGCTTTACCCCCAGGAAGCCGCCGAGGGGGACTTCGTCGTGTGGCGCGTCCTCGGGTTCGGCGGCAAACGCAACCCCGTCGCATTCGGCCGGGTTGTCTTTTTTCGCGGCGCGGACGGCGCAAGCATTGCTTCGCCCGTTCGCGCAGTCGACGGCCGGTCACGCTGGCGCGGCCGCAGGCAGGCTGCAGTTGTACGTGGACGACCCGGTCCTGTCCGTCGTGGGCACCCCGGCGGCCGCGCAGATGGCCATCGACCTCGTATTCACGTGGTGGCTCGTTCTCGGCGCGCCGCTCGCGTGGGGGAAGGGCGCCCTGTACCAGGGCAAGCACGCGTGGATCGGCGCGGTCTTCGTCGCGCCGGTTCCCGGTGAGGTCCACCTCGCGTTGCCTTTGGCCCTCCTCGCGGGCCTGCACGAGCTGCTCGCCCCCTTTGCGGCGGGCTCTGGGCATGCCCCCATGGCGGCCGTGCGCCGGGTCGCAGGGAAATGCGCTCGGGTGGCATACGTTGCCCCAGACGCGGCGCCCTTTGCCGCGGCGCTGTGGGGGGCCTTCGCCGGCGCCGAAGCGGCCAGCCGCGATGCGCCGCCTGGCCGCGTGGCGTGCAGCAGGTTCGCCGCCGCCGCGCGGTGGATGCAGGCGCTGGTGCATCCCGAGGGCCTGGACATCCGCTCCGCAGGATCGTGCGGGCCCGGGCTGAGGGCCCAGAACGCCTAGCCGACGCAGTCATCAAGTTCGACGCGTCGCCGTGGGGCGGCGGGGCGGCTCTGTTCGTTGGCGGCGCCCCATCGGAGTACTTCGCGGCCACGTGGTCACCGGAGGTCTGCGCGCTCTTTCGCGTTGAGATCGGGGTCCCCAAGTTCCTGGCGCTGTGCGTGTGGGGTGACGCCTACCGGGCAGCTGCCGTCACGGTCGCCAGCGACATCCCCGCCTTGGAAGGGGCGCTTCACCTCGGGGCAAGAGCCTCCTCAACCACGTGACCCGCGAGTTTGCTTGGAGGCGCGCGCGGCGGCGCTGGTCGTACGTCGTGGCCCATCTACCAGCTGAACACAACATCACCGCGGACGCGCTCTCCCGCCTGGCAGCGCCGGTGCCAGTGGCCTTCCCCGACGAGCTCGCGCGGGCGAAGCTGGTGGCCGCGCCTGCCATCGTGGAGCTCTTCGTGGCGATGAGGGCGCCGCCCGGCCGGCAGCGCGCGCCGTGATTTTGGTATCGAATCGTTTGGTAAAGGCGCCCCCACCTGGCCCCCCTGCCCTCCTGCCCCGCCCTCCCGCCCTCCTCCCCGCTCGCTTGAAACGACCGCTCCTTTCATCGCGACTTCGAATCCGCCGCGCGAAAGAGGCGGCCCGCGGTGTTGGGGGGCGCGGGGGGGAGGTGGTGGGGTCAAGAGCCCTGCCCCCCCCCCGGGCCCCCCCCCAGGGGGGCGCCAGGGCGTCGATTTTGGCTCAGAAGTCTCGGGCGAAACGTGACCGAGAGTAATCAATCTCGGTCGCGTTTCACCTAGGGCTTCTTCCAACGTCCGCACCCTTCGTCGTCTCGCTCCTTCGTCCTGCACCTGCCGCCAACGTGCTCCGGAGAAGCGTTTCCGGAGCGCGTTGGACGATTCTCGACTCCCGGGACAGGGCCCCCCGGAGGGGACGGCATCGATTGTGGATCCGCAGCTTCCGCTCGGCCCCGCCCGCCGCCCGCGCGCGGGCACGCGGCGTGCTGCCGACATGGGGGTGGCACGTGCCCGCCTTGGCGTTGGCCGGCCTGCTCGGCCCTTGCCCCACGGCAGGTCCCCGTCTTGCCTGGGCATCCGGGAATTCGTTGGCTTGCTCCGGCATCCGACGGCGGCCCGTGCGCGTTGGCTTGCTCCGGCATCCAGCGCCGTCGGCTCGCTCCGGCATCCGGCGCGGCCGGCTTGCTCTGGCATCCGGCTGGCGGGCCCTGCGGCGCAGCCCCGGCTTGCTCCGGCATCCGGGCCGCCGCATGCGTGTTCGAAGGCCAGGGCTTGCTCCGGCATCCCGGCCACGCGCTTGGCGCGGCTTGCTCCAGCATCCGCGCGGCCGGCTTGCGCTTGCATCCGGCTTCATCGGTTTGCTCCGGCATCCGACGGCGGCCCGTGCGCATTGGCTTGCTCCGGCATCCAGCGCCGTCGGCTTGCTCCAGCATCCGACGCGGCCGGCTTGCTCCAGCATCCGGCTGGCGGCGGCGCAGCCCCGGCTTGCTCCGGCATCATCCGGGCCGCCGCATGCGTGTTCGAAGGCCAGGGCTTGCTCGGGCATTCCGGCCACGCGCTTGGCTCGGCTTGCTCCGGCATCCGCGCGGCCGGCTTGCGCTCGCATCCGGCTTCGTCGGCTTGCTCCGGCATCCGACGGCGGCCCGTGCGCGTTGGCTTGCTCCGGCATCCAGCGCCGTCGGCTTGCTCCGGCATCCGAGGCGGCCGGCTTGCTCCGGCATCCGGCTGGCGGGCCCTGCGGCGCAGCCCCGGCTTGCTCCAGCATCCGGGCCGCCGCACGCGTGAAGGCCAGGGCTTGCTCCGGCATCCCGGCCACGCGCTTGGCGCGGCTTGCTCCGGCATCCGCGCGGCCGGCTTGCGCTCGCATCCGGCTTCATCGGTTTGCTCCAGCATCCGACGGCGGCCCGTGCGCATTGGCTTGCTCCGGCATCCAGCGCCGTCGGCTTGCTCCGGCATCCGACGCGGCCGGCTTGCTCCAGCATCCGGCTGGCGGGCCCTGCGGCGCAGCCCCGGCTTGCTCCGGCATCATCCGGGCCGCCGCATGCGTGTTCGAAGGCCAGGGCTTGCTCCGGCATCCCAGCCACGCGCTTGGCTCGGCTTGCTCCGGCATCCGCGCGGCCGGCTTGCGCTCGCATCCGGCTTCGTCGGCTTGCTCCGGCATCCGACGGCGGCCCGTGCGCGTTGGCTTGCTCCGGCATCCAGCGCCGTCGGCTTGCTCCGGCATCCGAGGCGGCCGGCTTGCTCCGGCATCCGGCTGGCGGGCCCTGCGGCGCAGCCCCGGTTTGCTCCGGCATCCGGGCCGCCGCATGCGTGAAGGCCAGGGCTTGCTCCGGCATCCCGGCCACGCGCTTGGCGCGGCTTGCTCCGGCATCCGCGCGGCTGGCTTGCGCTCGCATCCGGCTTCGTCGGTTTGCTCCGGCATCCGACGGCGGCCCGTGCGCTGTGGCTTGCTCCGGCATCCAGCGCCGTCGGCGTGCTCCGGCATCCGGCGCGGCCGGCTTGCTCCGGCATCCGGCTGGCGGGCCCTGCGGCGCTGCCCCGGCTTGCTCCGGCATCCGGGCCGCCGCGCGCGCAGGCCGCAGCCCCGGCTTGCTCCGGCATCCGGGCCGCCGCGCGCGTGCAGGCCCGGGCTTGCTCGGCATCCCGGCCTCGCGCAGGGTTGGCCCTGGCATGCCCCAGCATCCGTCGGCCAGCCTAGGTTCGCAGCTCGACGGTTCGCACGTCGCCCAGAAGACGTCGGTCGCGCAGCAGCCGGGGCGTGCAGCGCGGCGAAAGCGACGCCCAGGGACGCGCTCTGCTGGCAGGCGGCGCCTTGCCGCCGTTGCGCGGGGACGCGCCGGGTAGGGCGGCCCGCGGGCGTGGTTCCATGCCGGACCTCAGCACCCGTGCTCTGCGTCGCCAGGCTCTCGAGCGCCTGGAGGCGGACGTGTGCTCGGCGTCGGCGGGCAAGGTCGTCGAGGCGCGCCTCAGAACCGTGGCCACGCTGTTTCGGGCCTGGGGCGAGAAGCCGCTGCCGCCCACCGCCGCGAAGATTCGTCATCTCTGCGCCGGCCTTAAGGCGGGCGGGTACCGTAGCGCGGAAGCGTGTGTCTCTGCTTACCGCCTGTTCGCGGAACGCTCGGGCTACTCGCTGACCGACGACGTCGCGCGCGCTGCCAAGGACGGCGTGCGCTCGTGTCAACGGGGCATGGGCGCCCCCGTGAAAGCACGGGCACTGCCGTTTCGCACAGTTGGG